TATGTACGCACGAAAGCTAGATTCTGCGTACGCACAAAAGTTTTCAGATTTATAAAACCATGCGTCCGCCAGAACCTGTGCAAAATCCCTTTATAAATCCCAGTCAGGGGACGATTGTGCGTACGTCCATCTCCACCCCGTCTCCTCCCCGAAATCACCATATATGCAGCTTACAACGCCTTGTTTTACTATGCATAACCTTATCTGCATATAATTTCCATGCATATTCCCATCCACGTGACACCATATTTAACACCGTCAAAGATAAAATACATTAAGGAAAAATGAGATACAGACTATAAATGCCATTTGTGCCATACATTAATTTTTATTTCTAAAAATCATCCAATATCCTTGTTATGTTTTAGAATAAATATAGATAAAGATAAAAACAAAAATAAAAACTGTTTAAAATAGTTATCAGATAAATATGATCAGATAAATATTTTAGAAATAGAGTTGATCTCATTCTTTAACACTGGCCAAATAGTAGCCTATTTCAATTGTTTTGAACAATTAAAATCAAACTAAATTTATGCAGTTTTGCTGATAAGGTGAATATCTTTCTATTTTGAGTGGAAACAGATAGGCCTATTTATTGCAGTGTAAAATTTTCTGACTCGGCACCTCACTAACAAAGTATTTTAAAAAGGAAACATATAAATCTTACCGTTTTCTTCAAGTTGTAGCCTTCAAATAAAGCGGTACTTTTCATAATTTTGTAGAGATGACTTCACACGACATCAACACCTCTGTGTAGCTGTAGTTAACAGTAAGATATTATCATTGGACCTATCCAAACTGGATAATGGACCGTTCAACCACTGAATCCAGCAGTGTCCTCCATAATATCGAAGTAAGTGCACATCATTGATCATTGTTCTCACTAAAAAATATTTTCTCATAACATGAGATCTGCACTTCAGTTTAAAGATGAATTATTGTGCACCTATATTACTCCTCGTTGTCAATAAAAGCGGAAAAGTGATCAAGCGCATTTACTACAAATATGTCTAAATTCATATAATTTTGGTTTAAGTTCTGCATAATGACTATGTAATTTCAGTCCTTATCTCCATATGAGAGTGGAATATTTAATGTAAATGTATATATCGACATGAAAACAGAGCTTAAAATCATTGTTTTCACTTCATTCATTTTTTCACTCAAGGAAAAATAGTTTGTACGCATGGGTCAGAGTTTGCGTGCAGGTGCGCACATTTTCCCGTCAAGTTTGTTTTTATAAATCCCACCTTTTGCGCAGGAAGTGGCGTACGCCTCTTTCAGGGCTGTTTTTGTGCGTACGCAATGGTTAAAAATGAGGCCCCAGATCTTTATGGGATGTGTTATGAGAAAGCGAAACACACACAGTCCTGTTCACACCAACACGAATGTTGGCCACAAAAATTCTGTTACATGAGAAAAAACTAAAAACTTAAGATGCAAATTCACTCTCAGACAGTAGGTGTAAGCAAGTCAAACACTATTTGCATGTTTTCAAACAGACATTCACGTTTTTGTGTTCACTGTGGTGTAATATATGAAAAAAAACCAGCTAAATAAAAAAGTACAGTGACGAGAGACGGTTCTGAATTGTTCATCTGCTATTCACTGTCGCTTAGCAAAATACTCTGTTTGTAAGGACCACCAAGTCGTTTTTATATAAAAGCAGTAGAGGCTCTGGGCACACGACCAAAAGCACAGTATTATTGGTTTGACAGTTTTCTTCACAATGCGATGAAAAAGAAATTAGAACAACACTCTGAAAATTTGACCTTTTCCCACACCACTTGCCTGATTGGGAGGGGTGGTGGTACTGGTCTACTTATTTCAAATGAATGGAAATTTGATACTTTACCATCTCTTACTGGCAACAGTTCATTTGAATCACATGCAATTACTATTACCCACCCTGTTAAAATCCACGTTGTAGTTGTTTATTGTCCCCCAGGTCAACTAGGTAACTTCTTGGAGTAGTTGGATGTGTTACACTTAAACTTGCCTGAAGACAGTACTACTCTGATTCTACTCGGTGACTTCAACATCCACCTAGAAAAATCCCATGCTGCTGACTTCAACACTCTGCTTGCCTCATTTGACCTCAAGCGAGTGTCAACTACAGCTACTCACAAATCAGGTAAGGATTGGACAGATTGGACTTTATCTACACATGCTACTGCTCCACTGACAACACTTTAGTTACCCCATTGCACACCTCAGACCACATCCTCATCACTTTTAAACTCAAACTGACTCCTGACACAACACGCACATCTCTATAGGTCACCTTTCGGCATAACCTACACACACTATCTCCTCTATGGATGCCTATCCTCATCCTCACTTCCTCCACCCTTCCTCCACCCTCTCAGTTTTCAGCACTGCTACTGACACTCTTTACTCCACTCTAAAATCTTGCTTAGGCAACTTTTGCCCCCTTTCTTCCAGACCAGCACGCACCACCCCCTCTGCCCCCTGGCTGTCCGATGTTCTTCGTGAACATCACTCTAGGCTCAAGGCTGCAGAGAGGAATTGGCGCAAATAAAATAAAAAGCTCTACTGACCTTAGCTTGTATCAGTCACTCCTCTCTTCCTTCTCTGCAAATGTCTCCACTGCTAAAACGACATACAACCATAACAAAATTAACAACTGTTTTGACTCTCGCACACTTTTCAAAACCTTCTCTTCTCTTCTCTTCTCTTCTCTTCTCTTCTCTTCTCTTCTCTTCTCTTCTCTTCTCTTCTCTTCTCTTCTCTGTCCTTCCATCCCTCTTCTAACCCCCTCTTCATCAACTCTTACAGCTTCCAAATCCCCAGTACTCATCTTGCTGGATCTGTCTGCTGTTTTGACACAGTTAACCACCAGATCCTCCTGTCCACTCTCATGAAGATGGGCATCTCAGGAACTGCACTCCAGTGTTTCAAGTCTTACCTCTCAGGTAGGTCCTTCAGGGTGTCTTGGAGGGGTGAGGTTTCGAAGACACAACTTCTTGCTACTAGGGTTCCTCAGGGCTCCATCTACATGTCATCATTAGGATCTGTCATTCAGAAACATGGCTTTTCCTATCACTGCTATGCTGATGACACTAAACTCTACATCTCATTCCAACCAGATGATCCAATGGTAGCTGATCCAAGCTGGTGGAATGACTTGATCTCAATTTGAGCAGCTGAGTCTTTAGCCATTTAAAACGTCTAAATACACATATTTTTTGCCAGTATCTGACCAATTAATACTAGCACTTACCAATTCAAGTCAATTCTATTCGTTTTTTCTCATTCATAAAAAATACTTACTATGTGTACTGTGCTAGACTAACTGAGACTTGTCAAATCATTTGTATACTGTTGCTCTCTTGTTGGTCTGACTGCTTCTATTGTTCTCCTCATTTGTAAGTCGCTTCGGATAAAAGTGTCTGCTAAATGATTGAATTTAAATGTAATTGTCTTGGTGTGAATAGGACTTTGCAATTTTGTGTAAATTGCAGCTGTTATTCTTATCCTTTTCATTTGATTCCTTTCCCACTTTTTTCCCATTTTCACAAAAAGTGATGTGGAGTGTTTGAAATAAAGGTGCAGTAACATTTACCATTGCTCATTTCAGTAAGATTCTACACAATCTGGAATTTTGCATGAGGGTGAAAAATGGTCAAGTTGGCCATGCAAATTTGCCACGCTGACCAACTGAAAGCTACTTGGTTTTAAGGTGACTTCTGAGCTCTGCTTCATTCAATGTATGAAACTGAATGCATCATTTACATACAGTTTCATACATTGCTACACTAATGACAATAGACAATGAGCCTTTTTAAGGTGAAATTTGACTAATGTGACTGCAACATTAAGAGGGGAGCGTCTCAAAAAAAAAAAGTAGTTACAGGGTATTCATTTGAAATGCTTGTTAATACCAGGTGGAAACAGGACCTTAGTGAGCATCACTAATGTAAGTGTAAGAACTAGAAGTGTTCTCTCTGCAATGGCTCTCACACACAATACTTCACCTCACACTTAACTTTTACACACACACACACACACACACACACACACACACACACACTGTCTCAACTCAAACATTGCTCTCTGACTCCAATTAGATCCCAATCCTCCTGACCAGATTGCTCATTTACATTTTAATAATTTAAAATCAATCTACCTCCACACCTGAGAACTGATTCTGAACCCTCAGCACACACACACACACACACACACACACACACACACACACACACACACAGACAGACAGAGAGAGAGGAGTGTGTGGTCATGTGTAAATATACACTGCTTATAAATTCACTGATCTGTTAATAACCCACCTGGTGCTCTTGAATGTATGTGTGTGTGTGCTTCACTTATGCATGATCTCTCATCTCCTGCAACATCAGCCATCAAACCATACCCTTCCTCTTACCATACTGAGGGATTTGAAAGTAATTTTGCTGTGTGTGTGTGTGTGTGTGTGTGTGAGCAAGCAACAGAGGCACAATGAGCTTCATCCTGTGAGTGAACTCAAGTGCTTCGCTCCCATATGGGTGTTACACGGAGTCTCCGTTAGCCTGCTATCACAGACTAGAGAGACATCATACTCAACTCAACCCACAAACAAGAACATAACACCAGCCTAACTCTGCTTTACTATTTATCACTATTTAATTTAAAGCCATGCTATTAAATACTGCTAAATTTGCTATTAATGCTATTAAATTTGTATTTATTTTACATAATATTTAATAAAATAATTTTACATTAAAAAAATGAATCTTGATGCTTGATAAAAAAAAGATAGTAAAAAACAACCCTAAATTCAATGTGAAAATAAAAATCCTGCTTCCTGCCTTAGCGGCCAAACAGAAAAACTTTTTGGCCGATGCTGATCATTAAGAAATGCCAAATATAGACCAATATTTTGGCTATGACAATAAATTGGTCGACCACTATGTCTCTCTCTATATATATTTGGGATTTACTGGTTAATGGTTTGATGAAATGTCATATATACCCACAACAAAGCATGGACCGGCTGACGTTTTCAGACATTCTTCCAGTAATTTCATCCGTAGTCTCTGCAGCTCCGGACTGTCCCACTCCTCTGGATCAATGCCCCAGTACAGGTCCACCACCTGCAAAACACACATATACATATATTTAAAACACCACTGAAACGTATACACACTGTCTAAACATTTATGATGCATACAACTTCCAGTTGCGACTTACAAGACATGAATAATTTGCTTTTAATACATTCCAAAATGACTGTCTTCATTCAACTCAAAGGAGAAGTTTAGTGGAATGGTATTTATGTATTTATTCCTTTATTTATTTATTTGTTTGTTTGTTTGTTTTATTTTTGCCTTTATTTTGATAGGACAGTAAGTGCCCACAAGGCTATTGGTGCCGACAGTTTAGTGCAATGTTCTGATTACTTTTTTTCTTACAATGGAAAAAGAACTGGCACATAATTCAGAGAGACACTTGAAGAATAAAATTTTAGTAGGCCTATATATCAACACCCTTAACTATAGCCTAATTCTTTTTTATTACTAAGTAAGGAAGATCTGTGGCATAATGAATGCCTGGGAGAGTATGAATTTCCACACTCTTTCAGCACACATTAGCACTTTAAAAGGAACCACAGGGAGAGGAATGAGAGAACAGACAGAGAGAGACAGCGAGAATGACAGAAAGGAAGGGAGGAACGTAACAAGAACAGCAATGCTGAAAATATGTTCCTGCAGTCAGCTAAACACTGCACTCACACTGTGACACATTAAACTGCTTACTGCTCACAATTAAGAGTCTCTAATCATTTTGAGTGTGTTTTCAGAATCACTAAAATAGTTTGAGTCTGACAGCACACGTGTATGTACAGCAACAGCATAATAACCTCACACAGAGCCATTCAAAAGGGTTATCTTGTATATCGATTGTTGTAAAGAATATATATGCTAGCTGCCATATTGTTTTGGTTAAATTAGTTAAAATTTCTCCACATACACCCACTCACCCTACAAACCAGGCTAGAAGGATATCTTGGGGGATTTCAACACCTAGCTCATTATTCATTTTATAGATCATACATTCTTTTGATAAAATTGGTAACATAGATGCACAATAAACTTGTAATACTCCTTCTTGATAGTTTAATCACCCTCGGTCATTCTAATAACAAACAAAGTGATTTCTGGCGCACATTCTTTTCAGTCATTTTTTGACAAACAGTCCAACAGTATTCAGATATAATTTTCCTTAATATAATTACTGTAAACTATTGTTTAACAGTTAAAATGTTAAATTGAAATTAAAGTTTAAATTGATAAAAAGTGGCATTAAGTATTAAACTATTATGAAGGATTTCTTTCTATTCGTCAGAAAATCCTGAAAGAAACTCAGTATCAACGTTTCCATAAAAATGTTATGCAACACAACTGATTTCATCATTAAATCAGCATATAAATCAGGAATAAATTACAAGTTAAAATATATTAAATCAGAAAACATTATGACATTATATCTGGGAGCATGACTGAATTTAAGTTAGTTAAGTTTATTTAGTTTATTCAACAGGGACCATGCACAATACAGCTGTTGTGCCAGAGTTTGCTATAATTTACATTCTGCACGCTCTAGGCAATACAGCATAAAAGTACAGCAGTACAATACAATAAAAAAATGTACATACAGTATATCACATATTGTATTCCATATAAAAGATAATTAATAAATATCAGGGGTGGTCAACGTCAGTCCTGGAGAGCCACAGTCCTGCAGAGTTTTACTCCAACTGGTTCTTCAGGACCGACGGTGGCCACCCATGATATCACTGATCACATAATTGATTTGTCTTATGCCTTATTTTAATTCGTTTAGTCAGGACCACTTTCGTCAAAGGATTTATTGGCAAATAACAATAATTAAGATTGTTGGTATGATTCCATTCTGGACAAAAACTCTCCGTCTGTCCATACAGCCTTGCCTGGATAGAGTAGGGAGCGCAGCAACACTATTTCCCCCCACGGCATTACAGAACAGCTTCAGCAGAATTGTTTTTAACATACAGTCATGTCCAAAAGTTTTGGCAGTGACATACATTTTTTGTTTTGCAAAGTTTGCATGCTTAAGCTGTTGTTGTGTTCATTCACATTGTTTCTAGATTATTGTGTAGAGTGATCAGATGCATTTTAAATAATTGCTAAAAGCTTAATTGGCCAAAAAATTTACTTTTCACAAAAAATAAAAATTTAGCTGTTTTTTGATCCTGACACAAAATGAACAGCTAACATTAATTGACTAATCATATCAGCAGCACATGTGAGAGTGTGAATGAGTACAAGTCAGGTGAAATCACTATCATACTAAATAGATTGTAAGAGTAGACTGTTCCCTTCCGAGGGAACTTCGAACTGAGTCCTCTAGGGTTGCTATGGGGAATGCCTTCAGCGTGACCGGTGTCTGAAGCATATATCTAAAAATGACAATAAACTGTAAACTATTGTTTAACAGTTAAAATGTTAAATTGAAATTAAAGTTTAAATTGATAAAAAGTGGCATTAAGTATTAAACTATTATGAAGGATTTCTTTCTATTCGTCAGAAAATCCTGAAAGAAACTCAGTATCAACGTTTCCATAAAAATGTTATGCAACACAACTGATTTCATCATTAAATCAGCATATAAATCAGGAATAAATTACAAGTTAAAATATATTAAATCAGAAAACATTATGACATTATATCTGGGAGCATGACTGAATTTAAGTTAGTTAAGTTTATTTAGTTTATTCAACAGGGACCATGCACAATACAGCTGTTGTGCCAGAGTTTGCTATAATTTACATTCTGCACGCTCTAGGCAATACAGCATAAAAGTACAGCAGTACAATACAATAAAAAAATGTACATACAGTATATCACATATTGTATTCCATATAAAAGATAATTAATAAATATCAGGGGTGGTCAACGTCAGTCCTGGAGAGCCACAGTCCTGCAGAGTTTTACTCCAACTGGTTCTTCAGGACCGACGGTGGCCACCCATGATATCACTGATCACATAATTGATTTGTCTTATGCCTTATTTTAATTCGTTTAGTCAGGACCACTTTCGTCAAAGGATTTATTGGCAAATAACAATAATTAAGATTGTTGGTATGATTCCATTCTGGACAAAAACTCTCCGTCTGTCCATACAGCCTTGCCTGGATAGAGTAGGGAGCGCAGCAACACTATTTCCCCCCACGGCATTACAGAACAGCTTCAGCAGAATTGTTTTTAACATACAGTCATGTCCAAAAGTTTTGGCAGTGACATACATTTTTTGTTTTGCAAAGTTTGCATGCTTAAGCTGTTGTTGTGTTCATTCACATTGTTTCTAGATTATTGTGTAGAGTGATCAGATGCATTTTAAATAATTGCTAAAAGCTTAATTGGCCAAAAAATTTACTTTTCACAAAAAATAAAAATTTAGCTGTTTTTTGATCCTGACACAAAATGAACAGCTAACATTAATTGACTAATCATATCAGCAGCACATGTGAGAGTGTGAATGAGTACAAGTCAGGTGAAATCACTATCATACTAAATAGATTGTAAGAGTAGACTGTTCCCTTCCGAGGGAACTTCGAACTGAGTCCTCTAGGGTTGCTATGGGGAATGCCTTCAGCGTGACCGGTGTCTGAAGCATATATCTAAAAATGACAATAACATTGGCCAGCGACAGCCTATGACGTTATTACCCTTTACAGTATAAAAGGGTGCCGGGATAACACGTCATTCTCTTCTGGATCGAGATCAGACCATGTCCAGCTGCTCCAGTGGACTGTCTCTTATTGGGCCCTGCTGGGTTACCGCTTCTAATCTAGCGCCCCCTTCTGGTCTAGCTGAGAAGTGCTCCCCTCTCTGTGAGGGTTAACTATGAGTCGCTCCCAGTATGTGCTGTAAGGGCCTGCCTCAGCTTGAGAGCCGAGAGCGCTGCTCCCGAAGAACCCCATTTGCAACGAACTAAGTGTTAGGCCCATCTCTGTTGCCTCCTTGGTGTAGCGTCTGGACCAATCAGACACACCATTTTTCATTTGATTTAACAAATCAATTATTCAAGTTTATGTAGTATGTTAGACTAGTTTAAGTGTTTATGTAGTTAATAAAGTCTTATTTGTATCACACTTGATGTTGTTCATTGTTTGCTCATAACTGGAGTCACTTAATCATGCAGATTTATGCTACAAGCTCTTTGTAGAATTGTACAGTAAGAAAGTTATTTCCCTTAACCAGGAAATTAACGTTCTTAGAATTGACAGACAGTTGACCCTGAGAGGTCAGCTAAATATCTACAGTGGATCTAAATATTTATAATTAATTATAACTAGTTATGATTAATTATTCATATTTCCCCATGAGCCGATTCGCTACATTGGTCAGTTGCCTTTATGTTGGGACCCTGTTGTTCCCTTAGAAATGTGTGATCCCCTTCTAGCAGAATCCCATTTCTGATGTCCCATTTGCCATCTATCTGCCCCCGGACATGACTGTGCTCCCCTCACTGCGGGAGGGTTCCTTGAGCTCACCGGTCCTGGGCAGACTGGGTGAGTCCTCCTCTCGACTCGAGAGTTAGATCCTCTACCCTGGGCTATTGGTCGCTTCGGTCAAGCTGGGTTCCTCTCTCTCCTCACTAGGGGTTGAATGCTCCGCTCTTGAGCTCCGTGGCAGTGACATCAGGTAGTTGGGCCGCTTGCTGCTTCCCTGATAAGCTGCCTCTATTCAGGTCAAGTCAGGCAGTGCTCCCCTCCCCTCAGAGGGTTGTCTTTAAGCCTGCCGCTCCCGATTGAGTGTTTGAGGACTTCTGAGCATCTGTGAGCAGATGCTTCAGAATCTTTCTAAATCCATGCTATGGTAAGTGCACACGCTAAGCTTCTGTGCACTTTCTAAAATCCACATTGTGGTAAGTGTGCACACTAAGCATTCTGAGCACTTTCTAAAATCCTGTATGGTAACGGTTACGTGCTGTCAGCCTCGTTCCCTTTCTCTGAGTTGGCTTAGGCCCCGGTTCTCGCCTTGGGCTCTACTCAACCAATGTATCTCTGTTGATACATTTCTGAGCAGGGTGTTGCTACCTAAGATCTGTC